GCAGACAACACAGGAAGAAAACTCGTCATAGGTCGATGGGCTTTCGCTCTGCCAAATGAAAGAGAACAGAGAACTCTCAGATTTCTATCACTTCAACGGTGGTCTTATGCAGCTTGTACTAGTGAGGACGAAAGACGATTCTATAACACACTGGGAATTGACGCATAGCAGTCTCCAAGTGACCTCAGAATGTTATATCGCATCACCAGGTCTTTATCTGAGAATAAATCAGCATAAATAAGCCTATAAAAGATGGTCAAGGGAACCTAGTTATCAAATAGGAGAGACGAAGAGAACAATGTGTTGACCGATTTAAAACACATTATTATTGACAGTCATCCGCAATCTGTCCAGAAATATCAGCAACAACACACACACAAAGTTGTCTTGGGTGCAATCATGCTACCGATTACGGGAAGTTAGCAGGACCGACAGAATTCATCCTGAAGCACTGAAAATGGATCTACAGACCGCATAGTATATGTTGTTGCCACTACCGCAAATAGTCTTTCGGGAATGTAAGTTACCTAATGACTGGGATACAGTCTACTTTTTCAAACTACCAAGGAAGAGAGACTTACGCCTCTGCAAAAACTGCCACAAAATCTTTCTCTTGTCCACAAAGAATCAATTACTATGTCATGTCATCCTGGAGAGAATAAGAGATGCACTGGATGCAAAACTCTACCAACTAAAGGGACCTGGAATCATTAAAAGCAAATCACCTACTGATCAAGTTGAAACTCTACGCATCATCATCGAAAAGGTCAAAGAATGACAGTCAAGTCTCTGCCTCAACTCCACCGACTTTGAAAATGACTTCAACAGGATTGAATGCGAGGCGATTTGGGAACTATTTGAACACTATAGAGTGCAGTGCCTAAATCGTTATCAACCTCATTTTAAAGCTGGCGTCAGACCTTGCATGGGGAACGATAAGACAGCAATACGGTGGACCACAGAAGAACAGGCTTTAGAAGATCTGAATTTCGCGCGTGGAAGATTTATGTAAGCTGTCACACAAATTCGAAGACTTACAGGGGAAAAGCAACAAACTGGGAGGAAAGGTAGGCAGCGAAGGTAGGACTGCAGCTGAACATACCGAAGACGTAGGTGGTAAAGTTTACCAACCAACAGACAGCAACAGGAATAACCACCAGCACCAATCACCATCAACGGGCGAAATTTGACAGAGGTCAATTCCTTCACTTATCTAGGAAGAATGGCTTCAGCCACAGGTAGAACGCATGAAGATGTCATAGCCAGCCAGAATTGGAAAGGCAAGACAGACCTTCATCAAATTAAAACCAGTTCAGATAACTTCGGCACCTACTCAGTATATCAACAAGATTCGGATTTTTAACGCAAACGTGAAGTCGATTCTGCTATATAGATCAGCAACATGTCGAGTAAGCAAAGAAAAGCATTTCATGTTGAATACCAAATGGCTGCTCAGAAAGCATTAGCACGAAAAAAATATGGGAACAAACCATCCAGGAACCTATTGTTCAATGTATATGCAAACGAAAATGAAGATGGATCGAACGTACACTGGGGAAAACATTGAGTGATATCGCTTGCGGGGCCCTCGAGTGGAACTCGAATGTAGAACAACGAGTTGAGCTTGTGTTTGGGTGGGACATAATGGAAGTCTTGCGAGGAGAAGATAAGAGACTATGGACAGTATTGCTACCAGCTAAAGAGGACCTTAAAGAATGGGATAAAATGGAGATGTGTGATGCTAAAGCCATACGCTCCACTCGAAATCCAACAGAATAATAAGTAATAAGTAGATCTGCCTATTAATGATTTATGTTAATGGAACATGCGATAAATAAATACAGATGCTTTCGTGGTGAAACACACACGATAGAATATTAGAGCACACTGAACAATAGAACAATTCTATGGTTGAATATGAACTCTTTTCATTCAGAGAACCAATAAAAATTATTCAATAATAGACAGCTGTTTGGTTCTGGTTTGGGACTTTTCCTCAATACATAGCCATCACTCTATCAAAGGTTTAACTCAGGTTCAAAAGGTTACAGCGGGAAACTACTTACCCCTCAGCTTTTTGAATAGAAACGAAAGCTCGCCAGTTCTAAACTCCATCAATTGAAGTCAGTTTTTGATCAATCTTCAGATCAATGAAATCTCTGCGCACCAACATCAGAATAAAATTCTAACAGAAAACTGGATTAAAATGTTATTTTTTTTCGGTTTTAGCGAGAACAGTCACGTTTTAATGGTTGTCGTCATGACAACAAAGTCGTGAAGTGATCTCATCAGGCAATATCAATAATTTTGACTATACGTTGACTCCATTCCACTCTTCGTGAGTTCTTCAATTGAACGTTATATCAGGTTTAAAACGATGTTCTGTCATCAGTCTAGAAGGAGCTTCATATTTTATTTCACTAAGTTATCTGATAATTTTGCAAATTAGGACACTTTGGAGTCGATTTGACGAATTTCAATTGCCTTCATCAGACGTGTATGAATTTCTTTTTTGATTTACGGCTTCATTCCACACTGTATTTTTGGTACAAGTATGGAATTTTCAGCATGGATATCGGTAGCCCAAATTTCGCAGGCCGACCATAGATATCAGGTGTGCGTCGGTGCAGGCTCCAACCCCGGACCATGTGCATGCTCGGCGAGAGTCCTAACCACTGTGCCACTACCACTTAGATCCTCATCATTTGTGTCTTCGACTATGTAATCGAAGTGATTATTCACACAGTGCACGTCACAACTTTCTTAATCAGTCTTTGGTAACAAGATGTATTGACCAAATGAATTTTGAAAATCCAGATGACTTGGATAAGAACACAGCTTGGATACCATGGGGTAGAGAATAATTCCATCACCGAGTAAATTTACTTCGTAAAAACACATACTGATGCAGTATTATTTATTAGTGATGTTTAAAAACAATTTAATTGATCGTAATCATATGAAGGCTGTGTTTAGTCTGTTGGCAGACATGATATTTTTATGTTACTAGTGAGTACATTAGTCAGTGAAGTACAATCTGACCGTTGTTATGGTAATCCTGTTTGGAACGAGAGGAGTGACAGTTTTGGACAATTGTTTTATGTACCTGGTCGAGAGGCTAATAGTGTGAAGCTACCATCCAAGAAGTTAAAACTGAATGCTTCTAGGTCCGAATGCCAACCACATTTTCAAGGTGACCGGGAAGGCTTAAGTTTTCCTTCTGGTGTTTTGACTGGACCATATGTTCGATTAAACCCATTAGGTTTGGTGGTAAATAATACTGCGTAACTAACCGTATGCTTTTATCAAATAAATTTGCTGTATGACAGAGCTAAGATTACTGTTAGCAAACAACGTTATTCTTATAGCTGCCTCATGACTACATTTATGCATTTGCACACTCTAATATAGGCGTTAAATACCTGATGTAGTGAATTTTGTCGGTTTATTTACTAAGCTTCAAATCGTCAACAAATCTACTTAGATGGCAGTGTTATTCACTTTCTCTTGTGTCAAAATAAGAACATGCTAGGATGGGATTTGATTAGGGATATTCGTTAGGTGAATAGCCTGTTAGTACACACTTAGTTCTTTAGCTAATAAAGCTTTGAGGCTTTACATTATTTACTTGTCCAGATCATATATAATCAGTCTGATAACGACTCAGTGCAAGTTATGACTGAAAAATTCAGAGTGAAATGATTGTTGATAATATCGTTGAATTACCTTATCGACAGCGAATATTTGGTTAGCCTGAAGCCCTAACTTCAAATCTCAACCTGTCTCGACAGACAATAATAATAATTTACTTCATTCCGGAAACAGTACTTAGAATACAGAATGGAATTCTCAGTATTTGTCACAATATTGCATCTGATTTACTTAAAATATAAATAAAATTAAGAGTCAAAACAAAAGTAACCAGAGGGTTTGTCCACGTTTACGATATAAAGTCAAAAATATTTGAAGCACGAATTGAGATTATTAAATATAATAATAATAATAACAATAACAGTGAGTTTGTTTCAAACAGTATTGGTGATTCAGTATGGAAACTTTAGCATGTTATAGATCATTGGATCTAATGTTCAGTTGATATAGTATAGTGAAGGGAGATACAAATTAACAGTTCTAACATAGGCCAAATTATGTTCACACTTATGAAAGAAGAATAAATTGGGAGGATTATAAATATAAGAAATACAATAACAATAGAGTTTGGTACTGTAGGGGTGGAAGAAATAGTTTATTTAGTAGTGCAAAGAAGGTTAGTTAGTTCATGCCTGACACTATTTTCATCACATAAACTACGTGCCAAATATGTTATAGTGGAATTTTTATACTTAGACATACGTGCATAAAGTCTTCTGAAATGACTTCTTGTTTTACCTGAGGAGACTTAATGCTGGAGCTGCGCGTAGAGTGGGCGCTCAGAGTCTGACAAAATTCCTTTAGCAAATTTCTTGCATGAAATCAAGTGCCTATTAGTGACAGTGTCAAAGATATGGCCCAATGGGATACCACTCGTCCTACAAAGTATGACATAGTCTTTTTTAAGCAATCCAGGAAAGAACAAGGGTGAACAGTAAAGAAGAATATGTAAAATACACTGTAAGAGGAGAGGTTGAGTTATGCCTGATTTCCTTAACTTCCTAATCTAAAAAGTCAGACGAAATATTATTTTAGAAATCGCTAAGATATGGGAAGACCAGAATAGGTTGGAAGAAAGAATTAATCCAAAATACTTAACTTCAAACTTGATTTCTGTATCAATATCATCAACTCTGCAACGGTCATAGGAATTAACAGCTTCACTTAACTTACCTTTACATCGAAAACTGAAATTAACAGTTTGATATTTGGAAGGATTTAATTTAACGACCATCAGGTGAAGGCCGTTTGGTGACTCCTGATAGAAAGCTGTCCATCCTAGTACAGTCTAGCTGGAAGTTAACAGATATTGAAAAACGAAGTTCATTTCACCAGAGTGAGGCAAGTCGTGCAAGAAGAAAGAAAACAGAAAAGGAGAAACGACAGCGCCTCGAGGGACACCAGCCTCAGTGAGCAATGAAGTGGGCAACTTCTCCTGACATGCAGTGTACTACTTTCTTCCTGAGAAATTAGAATGCAGCCAGTTGACAACCCAACACTCAGTTTGAGTTTCAGCAAGCTTATTCAAACCAATATACCTAGGTAATGAGTCAAAAGCAGATGTGTAATCTAGGAAGGTGAAGCGAACAGATTTAACCGCTTTGTCCGAACTGGAGACAATGTTTTGATGCAAGACTGAAGCCGCATCTAAAGTACTTCTACTATGCTTGTAAGAGAATTGTTTGGGATCGTTAAAGACCTTAAGGGAAGGTTCGAGAATATGCAAGAGCAACTTTTCGAGAGGTTTTAGAAAAGCAGAAGTGATAACAATAGGTCTGAATTTAATACATGTTCCAGTAGACGACTTAGGTATGGGTACAATTTTAATGTCTTTCAAAACGGCTGGCGCGACATTTCTCGAAAAAGATTCAGTAAATATGTCCATGAGAGGATAACACAGGATATCTGCATATTTTTTAGGAATAAGGCTAGGCAAACCATCTGGTCCTGGATTACAAGAAGGGTTCATTGACTGGAGACATTTTAGAACATCATTTGTATTGAAACCAGGGAAGCAGATTTCATTAACACTTGTGACACTAGAAAGCTAAGTAATTGTGGGAGAATGTATGAAAGACTTTTTTAGTGTACAAACATCAAATGAATAAGGAATACTATTCATTCGCTTACCATCAGTGATTTCTTTGAAAAGTTTTCATATATTAGAGGCATTTTTACAGGAGATAAACTTTCGGTTGTAAAGTGAGTTCAGCCTTTGCATTTCAGACTTTATTGGGATGTTAATTCGTTTCAAACCAGTAGTATCCTCCATTTTTATATAGGTTTTTTTGTCTGCGAAGCTTTTGAAGTGTAGGGGAGGAGAAAAGATCTAATCTGATGAAGAGCGTTTTTCTGGTACAACAGGCGTCAAGAAAAAAATTTGAGATAACTTGTAACATTACAGATTGTGTCATCAAGAGAGTCTTCATTGAACAGATCATCCCTAGTGTCTTTGAGCATGCCCCTAAGATTCTAAACATTCTCCATAGAGTAACATCCATGTACGGTTTTGTTGGACAGGTGTGAAAAAGTTCTTTAGTGTAACTTTCCATAGCTTTCGGGTAAAACCCGTACAATACAATCATCGGAGTTAAACAGTGGGGCTCTTTTACGGGCTACGCATATTCCGCAGTCATTTATAAATACAAAATCAAGAGAACTATCCAGTGTCGTGGGAAAGTTAACGACGTTTTCATGACCTAGAACTGTGAGAAAGCTGCAGTCACATGAATTAAAATCGCCTGTCACTATGGACAGCGGAGTTTCCAAAAGAGGTGGCAGCAAAAATGGTGAATTCATAAGCAAGCATAGATAGTTCTGAAGTGCTACAACAAGGTTTGTGATGTAGATGAATGTTTGTGATATAAATGAATTTGTATTTAGACAGGTGTTTAGGTCGACATTTAACAGTTATACAGTCAATATTATCATTCGAGAATTTAAAACAGACGTTTTTGGCAACAAACCACTGAGAATTGATAAAAGTAGCAACACCACCACCTCGCTTCTTCTTTGAACTACTACGGTCTTGTATGTACATATTGAAACCATTCCGTAAGATTAAATTGTCATCATATGAATCGTGGAGCCAAGTTTCTTGAAGCGTTATCACACTTGTATTACGGTAAATATTTGAACATAATACAGCATCCGAGTAATTAATCTTGTTCGATAATGAACTGCAATTTCTGTTCATAATCACAAGAACAGTCATCTGATGCATTGGAATACACTTTAAGGATCTTTGCCACCCACCATGATGCTTTTTTTCAAGGTTATTATATACTCGTAAATCACTAGGTTGAAAACATGTTAAATAATTGCGAGAGTAAGTAATACGATTTGGACAAATAATTGAATAATTGAAACAAAACAAATGAAAGCAATCAGTTGCAATATAAGAGGCAGAAAAGTTCGGTAGCCCAAGGTTCAAGCAGGCTGCCATATGTCACATATTTCAGTTCTATCACTGAACAGTTCACACTTTCTAACGAAACTTTAAGCGTCGGTGGTACAGGGGTTTGGACGCCCGCCGACCATGGCACGAGCGTGGTACGGGGTTCGATCCCCAGCTGACGCACACCTGATATAAATTGGTTGGCCTGCGAAATGTGGGCTACCGATATCTCATGCTGAAAATTCCATACTTGTACCAATATTCGAAATGAGAAATAAATGTTTAAATCCCAAAATGAATTCTTTTCCACTACGTCACAAATATTTTTATAATATATGCAACTATTCATCTCATACTTAACCAAAGTATGTCATAGGTTTTTTGTTCTTTTAAGTGCCGAGTGAAACACAGGATATCAGACTAGGGCCTTGAAGTCCGGTAGCAGTACTTTTGTTTTTACTGGGTGATACTGCCCAACCTTCCATCTTTACTGGTCTTCCTACCGTCTTAGCGAAGTTTAGGAGTGCGTGAACCGAAGATAGAACCTCGAACCCCAGGTATGGTTGACTACAGTTCAGTCTTGTATAGGGTCTCCCATGAAATAGGTAAGTGAAATGACAATAAGAAAAATACTCCTATGTGAAATAGTTTCGTAAATGCATTCATTAAATTGGATTTTATGAAACAAAGTAACTTCAACTAAAGAAAATGCATCTTGTACTGCAAAACTATTAGATTTCCTTAAATGATGACTACAATATATATTGTCAGAGTTTGCAGCAATATGCTCGATCGTTTTCATTTGTCTGTACTAAAGTCTGGAATATAAATAGGAGAGTGAAAAACCCAGATTCACTAAGTTGTATTATAAATAAATTTTCCGAATTTCCTCTGTCCTCATCAATATCAAACTCATTCACAGACATTTGTAGGTGATACTGAGACTATATAAAACTTATATTTGAGCTAAAAAATGCGACTTGCAGTCTGAAAGAAAGCATCTGATAAACGAAGAAACCTTCAGGAAGATGAGTTCCAAAATGGGATAGTATGTGGGAACTAGATTAGAAGTTTCTTACTGTTATTATTATCACAAATGATAGAGATCACATTTGATAGTCCAGGAATTTATTGAAATAAAAGTGATCCTCACCAGTTTCACCAATACCCTACAAACGAGATCAAGTGTGAGTATTCCTAACGTCTTCAGTTAAGATGGTGTTAAGCGACAGATCTGTATAATAGGCATTTGAATGCTTTCACATTATTCTTTTGACTTAAGCTTTAAATCCTCTCAGAGACAAGAATGAGTAACTAATATATATTTATTGGGGTGAAGGACAACAGGTGTGTATTTCCATTGTAAATTAATTTAGCTCCATAGAAGTCAAGACTAAATGTAGATTTTCCTTAAGATTTATAAATAGCACATCTTGACAGTCGGTTTCATGAAAAGTAGCATGGATACCTTGGTTTGGTTTTTAGTGTCCTCTCTTGGAATTGTCTGACATAAATTTCTTTCCAACTCATCATATCTGGATTTTATTGGTGATAATTTCTTCTGCAATGTTAATCTACTTCTATTGGTAGCAATGTAAATTTCTATAGTATATTGAGTTGCCTGAGTATTTAGAAATATTATATAAGGCGGGCGTATTCAGAAAGAATAGCTGTCATCATTATCTTTTATATAAGGTTCTCAATGATAAGCAATGATAATACTAGTTGTGATATTGATTATTACCAGTTGCTGTATAGCAACTCTGTCTGTCATCTCATCAAACACCAATAATTCACATGTAGGTGGAGACGACAGATCGATATGATAGTGATGCTTTTAGATAGTGCCTTAATTGATTGGTTTAACTTCGTTTATTAAGTGTTTTGTTATTTTTACACACTAGGGAAAGTATTGTGATGTGTTTTGTACTATAAAATATCGCACACGTTTTCAACAAGCAATTCAGTAAAGTATTAAAGTTAAAAGGATTAATATTGTATGATAAGAATTGACCAGATTTAATAATTTCGTCCAGGTTAGTTTAATTGTCAATAGCTTTCTCCAGTTGTTGCTTTTTCTTTAAAGACGGATAAATTCACCACTGAAGTTTAACTTAGACCTCAGATTTAAAATTTTCAGTTTGGTTTGAGAAGCATATTTTCTGTATGGTTCCATCTTAAAGTTAACTATGATAACTCTATAAAGTCTGAAAGGCGAAAAGTCACATTGGCACGAAACAAAACTTTTGAAGTAACCTGTTTTATCCAAAAACTCAATCCTTGTCGAAACGTCCTCATAGAATTGGCTGTTGTGGAAAGCAGGACAAACCGATTCAAATTTCACATTCCACTGAGCTTTAATTTATGCATTACAGTGATAGCTGAAACGTGGTTCTTCAGTATGTACCTCGTTCATGTTTAAATCATTCCGGTTCAATTCTAGTATAAGTGGAATTAAAATTTTATATGCTTAGCTTACTGTCATCAACCCACTATTATTGCTCTGTTTTGACTATTTGAGTATGACTAAATATCTGTCGTTGTGTTTATCTAGTTCATGGTCTAAAGCCTTGATCTCTTAATACAGTGACGGCACAAGATTTCGGAAGTTACTTAGCTGACCTTCAGATTATAGATTGAACTGTCGATTTGTGAATATGATGTTTATATGTATCAGGAAGTATGGCATTTTTGCATTTCACCACATATAATTGTTATCAACGAAGGAAAGCTTTGTCAAACTAGCATGAGTCGAAAATATGAATATGTGAGTGATTTCATGAAATAAACTTCTCGCATTATTATTTCGTGTTTTCCGATTTCTAGAAATTAAAGGCGGCACAGGTACGTTCTTTTCTGTTATTATCTTAAGTGTAATTTTATTTTTACAATTGTGGTGTCAAACGCAGAAAAAATTAAACCATCTTGGGTTGCTGTCTGAAGAATCACCATTTCCGTATAGCTTATATTGTTCGTGGATGCAGTTGATTGTTTCCAGCCCATAATGTTTTAGTGAAATAACCATACACAAATGATCGCAAACTGAATCATGTAATCAGATGATACTTCTAATAAACACAGTTGACATAACATTCTGATAACGTAGTTGCCTTACGAACATTTTGTAAAATTGTTGACTCTATGTTGCTTATTTAAAAGCGAAAATCATAGGAAACATTAAAGACAGAGTGATATAGCTTCCGGCCAGTTAATTTGCTAAAGAATAGAAAGGTGAAATGTTTTCGAAAATACTACAAAATAAGAAGTATTATCAAGTTAAGGCAACGCCAAAACGCCTTGGTTAATTTTTTCAAAGTAGGAAAGTCATGATGGAATATTTAATCAGTCGCTTAAATTTTTTTTTGTTTTGCAATTATCGCATTTTCAATGCTCACTTTCCAAGTGTTCGACTTTCCCAGTACAACTGCTTCATTCCATAATAGCTTGTTTATTGGTTGCATGTTACAGAGTGGAACAGTATTGTTGGAAGAATGACACATCCGACACAATTAATTGTCAATAATCACATCCACTGTTATGTATTATTTGGAGTTACATACGGCCACAATGTCCACGTTATCCGTATGTGCAACTTCATACTTTAAATACATACATTATTAATCTGTCTATTTTTAAGGGTACATCTGAATATATGTGGGTTGGTTATTGATAGATAGCTTAGCCTGAGATAACACTATATACAGATTCCGTGATCCCACCTATATGCCACGGCTTCCAGTGAATTCTAGTTAAGAATATGTTTTCACACAGTATGATAAAGACAACTGCAATGTAAAATATGCAGATTACCTACGAATAGGATGGTTGATTATTTACCATTTCATCTAGATTTGACAGCTGTAAAATAATTATCCGTATTCCAAATATTAATTCAGCCAAAATGCATAAGTGCTGCAGTTTATCCAGGATATGGAAAACTGTTATTTCTGGAGTTTCATGGCTGGAACATTCATACCACTTTCCTGTGTATTGCAATTTCTACACCACAGATTACTGAAATGACTCAAATTAACTTTTCATGAAACTAAGTTTAGAATGTGTGGCTTACACCTGTTTCCTAGGACCAGAGCTTAGGCCTGTTGAATCTTTCACATTTGTTAATTTGAACAAGATGAATTTGAATTCGTCTCCACAAATTTTTTTTGACTTAACCATATTTGTACAACCTTACAGTGTTCTATCGGCCAATGTATAGTTTCTAACTGTGAGATAACCACTGACCAACAAGGAGTCCTAGATAGCTTTTCCAACCTAGCTAGATATACGCTTCGTAAACTGAAAGCACTCAATTCGATTCCTGGATGGATCGACTGTGTATACTACTGAGGAGTCCGAATATAGTAGAAAGTAGCTGTTCCACAGTCCCTGCCTTTTGAAAGTTCTCCAAATTTTAGGAATTCGAGAAAAGGTCTAGCTTAAAATATGATTTACTTAACAACTTCAGCTCTTTGGGCTTCAACGACTGCGTTCATGTGTCAAAGATGTTTAATTACGCTTCATTTGAAGTGAGTCATGAGGTCTAACTGCCTTACATATGCATCAGTTAATTATAGTTGTATATACTCAACTTTGAAACTATAAGAGCTGAATATTCATTACCTACTGAAGGAAAGAAAGCCATGAGTTATTTCATCAAGTTCACATATGCGATTACTACACACCATTTCTGCACCTCCATATGGAGACCAGAGTTTGAGTGCTGAAAGTAAACGGCTCATTGCTGATTCATTCAAAAGGCAAATGGTTTTGCGTGAACTAAAATGTGGACACATTTATTCTAGTGTATCTGAATAGCTTAGGAACATGTAAAATTTCAGTCCCGCTTTGATTTAGGTGAGAATTATCTTATTAAAATCAGATGTAATATGTCTGTGTCGTGTGCCAAGAATAATTTCAGTATGCTTGCTAAGCAGCCAATTTTTCTGACCACTACTTATGAATTTCTAGTTAAAATCAATGCATGCACAACAATTTGCGATTTCTTCCTAAAAACAGTTGTGGATTTAAAATAATGGAGGTTCTATAGCTGAAGTGGAAAATTTTAACGTGGCTGTGTTCTATAAGTTGGAGAGTTTAGTTGCACTGCTTTAATTTTCTCTCTAGACAATATCTGCAGTGCAAACTTCAGTATGAGGTGAACGCATTTAAATTGTGTATGGATTATCTAATTATCCTGCTGGAAGAATCTGGTTTTGATTGATTGTAAATATGCATTAGAACCGGTCGTTTTGTTGACATAAGATTTCACAGTTTTTTCACTCGCCTTATTCTTTATTGGTTGAAATACTTGATCAGTGTTAACATGTGTGGTGATAGCACATTTTTTTGAGCAATGGGCTTCCCGGAACTCAGTGGAAATCTTGGTGTTACCATTGTTTATAATGTCTACACATTCGCAGTCTAATTGGTGTCCATAATTGTCTACAAGCATCAATATGAAAGAATGCATGTCGCATCTTGTGACGCCTAGTTTATGTTTGTGGACTCAGAGTCACAGCGGACAAACAGTTTCACCAATATTTTGTTTACCACAGTTCAAGCACTTTATTTCGTAGGTAGCGTTGATCTTGTCTTCTTTTGTTGTTGGGTCTGTTGATCTGCATAGGAGTGAATGAAATGACTGAATTGTTTTGAGCGCAACATCCTTTCGAATGGTCTTAGTATTCTAGGCGTTGTTTAAGAAATATTCTTCATACATGGTAGGATGCATCTTTGTGGTCTTCCAGAAAATGGTTGTTCACTTGCCTAGTTTTGACTCAGCTCACACAGTCAGCGATTAGATCACTTCGTTATGGCTAGCAAGCATTACTGGTTTATATGATTGGTGTACAACTAATCATCTCATTCAGTCAATTTCATAACAGGTAAATGCAGTTAAACTTGCCTTCTTGAATAATATGTACGTTATCAAGCAAATAACCTGTTGCGATTCGAATAATCTCGGCCTTTGAATGAGACTGTGATGAAATAATCACTTTGAACTGTGTAAACTGAGAAGGAATCTGCAAGTTAAATGTTTGATTTAAGTCTTCTCTATTCTTCACTTTATTTTATGAGATCTGTCCTTGGGTATTTAGTTGAGCATTGTGCTACTTCTGTTTGATTATGCGTATGGTTTACTGAGGTATTTCTTATTAGAATTTATCATTTAGTTTTGATGATTCTGGGGAAGCAAATAAATATCCTGCTGTAGTGTCACCAAGATCATGGTTGTGATGATGTCCTCTAGAAAGGTTCGCAATTAGATCACCTGGCTCAGTGAATAAGTTTACAGACCGCTCATCATCCAACTCGATTCAATTATCTCAAATGTTTACATGAAAACACCAAAATAACACACTAAAATAAGAATTCTACTCAAGTGTGTGCTACAGTTCAGCGTTAAATGCGCTGATAAGTTAATACATATTTGTGATTAAAGGTATAAGTATCTGAGGTGAAATGGTGACGTTAAAAACTATATTCCCTAATAGTTTTTTGATTATAATCAGTATATAGAAGTACATACAATCACAATATAAACACTGAACTTTATTAGAAGTCCAACGTTAATAACTTGTACTCTCTATTATCAGTTCCATGTATTTCGTTTGTTATCTTTACTAGAAAATATTACGACTGAAGTTGAGTTCTTAAGAAAAACATCAGCCCACGCAAATCAGTTTCTAATATTGAACTGAATCAACAACTTTTATCTACCATGGTTTTAAATATCATTATAGTAAAAACATTTTATTGATCATAGAAATTTGCGCTTTGCATAAAATTTTGCAAATCTTTTGTTTACCAGGCAGATTTGACAAGTCTTAACTCAGAGATGATTTCGTGTTTATGTATGAACATACTAATTGACAAACAAGAGATTTTATTTGTTGTGTTTTTTTTGTTTCTTGTAAGAAACTTGTTAAATTTTGTCTTAACTTACAACGATATGATAGCAGACAGAATATTGCTCCTTCAACTGATTTGATTTCAGAATGAAAACACACTGAAATCTTATGTCACCCGATGAGTTTTTTAAGTCGTTCTATTCACTCTATCATTTGTTTATCTAAGGTGTAGGTAATTAGAGGTTCTTAGATGTCACTGAGGCACTCTAAATATTCTCAAAAGAAACAAATAGAGAACAATTCCAATTTATAATTCTGAAGCATTAAAAATTACGAATATAATCATGAGCTTTAGACATTTCCCGTAATTTTAATGTCAGGTGACTTGTCACACGCTCTAATAGGTGTTAAGGTCTGCGTAATTTCAAGTAGAATAGGATTAATGTTTTCACTGATGAAGACTTGAAGTAAGCTTTTACTATAAGAATTCCAATGAAAGCAATCGGCACTAGTCAGAATTTATACGAGGCAAGTGTAGAGTAAATATTTGAATACCGAAAGTCTGTTTGTACAATGTTTTGCACTCTTTGGTGAATTAATTAACCCTGTCATTTGGATTTGTGGGCATTATCGGGAACAATTAACACTCTTAAATTAGACATTTGTAACAATTATATTTGTAAAATCTCAGCGAAATCGAAATGAGTAATTCCAACGTTTCGTTCGGCAAACTGGTCCGAATAGAGAAATTAATCAAAATTAACCTAACTGAGGTTTATGTTTAAAACGGACATCTTTTGGTTTTGAAAACTTTGTCGAATCATATCAGTCATGAAACAGGTATCAACATGTATAATAAACAAAACTGTATGAACGCCGAATTATTTTGCAACTATTCGATCAAAACTTGACCACAGATCATATGCATTGTATGAGCTACTATCAAAATTTAACCTCAGACTTCTTACAAATTTCAGTCTACTTTTGTTAAACACATTAAACAAACTGTACCTTCCATCAGATTACGCCTGACTAAAAGTTCATGGTCATAGATAACTCAGTATGAAAATATATGTGTATAAGCAGGATATATTGATGTGTGTATGTGTGCATGAGGAAACAATTGTGAAACATTTGTAAGCCACTGCATAAGAAGATATAAATAATCGGGAATTTAGACCAAGTATGATTGATTATTGACACATATCTATTTTTATTTATTAGTCAGGATTTGCCATGCATCAGCTAACATCACACCTTCACATCTGTTGAAACTGTTGGGATTCACCCATATATGTACGGCCTCCACAGTCAATCTTTCTTTATACGAACCCAAAGCTTTCCGTAGAACCTTAGTCCTATCAAAGCAGATTTTGTGTCTCGTTTCTATCAAATCCAGTGTAACTGCTGGTCTGTTTTCTAGCTTCTTTAAGTCTGCAGAGGTCTTTGAAACCAAATTTAGACATTGCTTATGCTCTCTTACTATTTTATTTACCTGTCTGGGAGTTTCCTCTTTATATACAGTCCCCTCATTTGATCTGATACGCACAATTCTGTTGGTTTTCTTTTTCTATTTTATCCTCAACCTTCAACAGTGATGAACGTTAGGTGTTAGGTGCACGAAAATGCACTCTTATGTCATGATTGTTAAGGATTCGCTTTATCTCATCCGATGTTTTTTTGCGGTGAGGAGTAATCGCTGTACTAACCCAATTCTTATCAACAGGTTCCGATCAATCCTTATCTTCAAACTTTCAATATCTTCTTATAAAGGCTCTGGGATAATTATTTGATTCACGAGTGGACTGAACCAATTTTACTTAACTTACTATGTTATTTGTTCCACACATTAGTGGGTTTTTCATAAGATCTTCGATTTCAAGTTTGAAATATGGAATAGATACCAAAAATCAGGTTAATTTCAAATAAATAATGCAAAACTCCTATTTATCAAACAACTTAAGAGAGAATATCTCACTGCGTGAGTATATATTTCACTCCCGAAGTGTCCTCCTACAACGCTGAATTCGCGAGATTTTATGTCGTTTTGTTATTAATATGTATCATGCATCAGGAAGATTTAAGTGCTCCTCACTTCACTGCCACTACATTACTCACCATTGATTCACATGATTTTTACTTCTGATAAACCTCAAATGAAGCATTTATTTAGTACATTAACTTCCTAGTTTAGCGGATGCAGTGTGTTTTGTTCCACAGTCACACGAATGGGAGTTGTGTTCGAATCCAGCTATTCTTGTGATAAAATTTCTTCATCCAAACAAAAACATGTAGTTTCTGGCATACTGCTACATCTCAGATCCATTTTTACATAGATTCTATTCGGTCCTAGTTGTTGCAGCACCCCTAGTGTTTTCGTATTGGGAATTTTAGCATTTTTTATGAGCTTTCTCTAAGATCGAAACATATCTTTAGGTGGTGACTGGGTTTACGAAAAGACATGTCGACAGACTCATCAATAGATATCATCTTTCTTCGTACTGTCATTTGAGTCTAATTCTATTCTCTATTTACATTTATGTTTCTTATTGTGTTATTGAGCGTTTATAGAACGCTCGCCAACCACGTTTGTGGTCCCGGGTTCGATTCCCGGGCGACGCATCAAATTACCTCACTCAGCCAGTAATAAGACTGGTAAAGATGGAGGTTCGGGTACCAGGCTAGCAGTCCCATGCCGTGAAAATAAATGTCACTGCTACAGAAACTTCAAAGATCTAGCTTGAAGACCTCTGTTCCACTGGGAAAGCAAAAGAATAAAATTAAACAAAACGATAATTGTCTCGTTAGATGGAAATTTGTTGCATGAATTCACGTCTGGATATATTTTAACGACGTAGCGTTTACATTACTCAGTCTATTCTGAAATAAGTGTCCTAATCTACATATATATTTGTTGTTTCATAGTATGAATATTTCGCATACACGACATTCTTGTTTCTACATATGTTTCAAAAATGAGAGTCGATATTTCCCCAGTTAAAACGATAGCCGTTCACAGTCGCTTTTCCCTTGGTAGCATGGTTGTTTTAGTGTTATTTTGCTTTACCAACAGTCATTGTTAACACGCACAACATCCAACTGAGAGAACTTTATGTGATTGATACAGGGTTGTGGATTTGTCTGAAGTTCCTTTCCTGCTTAACAGTTTTACTCCAGGAGAAGTGATTTCTATGGGAGGTCATCGATTCCATGCACTGCTAAAATCTATTGCTAAAAACATTATCATTATGAAGGCATGTGAATTTCACCAACATAAACATCAAAATTTTGTGGTGAATTAGTCTACACATCAGCCTGTCAGGATCTTCTACTATCTTTTATATTTCACAATATTGCAAATTGTATGCCTAACTGAGTGTTCACTTTGTTAATGAATGACATTTGCCTCACATACTTTGTACTTCGTTACACTTACGATTCACGTGTTTTTGACGACTGCATTCAAATTCGACCCCACGATACAAATTGTATCCCTGTGTAGTTTATTCAATTCCATTTATTGTCCAGTAAGTACAAAACGAGATCTTTCATCATTTCGTGTTTGCTCAGTTCAAAGTTAACAAAGAGAATGGGATGATTTCAGAGGATATGAGGATGTTGTTTGTTTCGAAGATCACCTATTCAATTGTCTGCAGAAATTGTCCGAAATAATTAATATTGTCAGCACAGTTGTTTGTAATTTTCCTTCAAAGCAGCAAAATACTTCAAACTGAAGTACTTCAAAATGAAGAGGAACAGAAATGTTTGTCTACATTGCTCATTCATTAGATGTTGTTTCATGATCCTTGGATTTTAATGTTTTGATAATTTTCAGGAATTAGTCTTTACAGAGATTCTACTTGTTGAATAATTTGTTTAGAATGATGTTCAGGTGAATATGTGTAATCTGATTACAACGTTTATTTTCACAGTAACTGTCTTACTTCTGTCATGTGTCGTTTCCGAATGACTGATGTAATCATATGACCAATTCACACACAATTTCTCAGATACTCATGAAACATTCGAAAACTTCCGCTTCGTTGAATCACAGTGGTGTTAAAGAAGACTGACAGAATATTTGTATCTTGTTAGAGTCCGAATGCAAAATAACCAAGACTTCCGTCTTCTCAAAATGTTTTGATGCTGTGGAAAATGAATATGTGAGAATATCACAAATTGATGTGTATCTGATAGTGCTTCGTTTGTTTTAATTCCCTTAGCATACTGATTTCTTTACCAAACATTTTTTTTCTTTTATAGAATTTCCAACCTAATTCTGTAACGAGGTCCTCGTCGTAAATGATACTTTGTCGGAGAAGGATCAATCCATTTCGTTTTTCTCTAATTGCACTTTTTATCGCAATCATTGGACTTCCCATCTTGTAAGTGATCTCTGGTCTTAGGTTTTATATCAAATGTTAAGAATAGATTTTAACACTTTGTATGAAGAGCAGTGAACAGACTAATTTGTGTTAAAAGAAAACCCATAAAACCGTGCGTAAACAGGATGGAGTTATAATGAGATTACTAAATATGCAAAGAAAAAATGAAAAGCTTTTTAAAGTAGAAAGTATACACCCTTTCATTTTATATACGTTTGCTCACCTGTCTTTCGTAAATGTATCAAGGGTTGATCCCAGATAACATCAACATCATACGTAGTGCTACATTTCTAGGTTCCAGAAATTATACACTTGTAAGTGATAAAACAATCAGTAATGAAGAGTTTTAATTAGTCACATATATATGACGTGACGCCGTAGTATGGTTAAAATCAACCGGGACGAAATAGCTGCCTAGTACTCCATGGTTCTCAGTAGTTCTCTAAATGTTATCAATATGTGTTCAGAATTGAAGTTAAAAATGCTGTTCATCTAGGACCCTGTGAAGACTCTACAGAATCTGTGGGGGTTTATCTACTCCAGTCGATCATTCTATTAAACCATGGAATGGAACAAAGTGCATTGTTTTACAATATAAATACTATTCGGCAGACTTGTTCGTCGCTCTGATTATTCAGGATGCAGTAGTTCTAACCAAGAAAGCTGGTTTTGTCACTGAAATATTTGCAAATCCCATCACTAACCATCTCCTGATAGCAGATGTTGGTCGTACATTTAATACGTCGGTAAGAGCTATTGCTCATTCAGACATAACACGTTAGCGTTTTGATCAAAGGTGTTCTGAAAGAACAGGCTGGCTTTACAATTGAAAGAGAAGTCAGAAACTATAAATACAGAATTCAATAAGTAATTCGTAAATCTGCCATAAGGCTGAATATTTCTGTTCCTTGGGATAAAACTTCATCACTGATACACACCATAAACACTGATATACTTAATAATAATAATAATGGTAAAACTTTATTTAAGACAGTATGCGAATATACCATACAAAACTTTTCGGCGTATTCAGTTCCAAAGCACTTTTTTCTTCACACATGATTCACATGTAAAGTAATAATCTGAAGTTTATCTTCATTTCGTTGAAGAATCGTAAAGCGTTTACTTGGGAGCAAGTTAAGTCATCGCGCGAGTTTATGTAAAGGTCATTTGATATAACTGGACGATTAAAACAATGATAAATTCAGGTGAAATTAAGCATTTTGGAGGAAAGTAATTTTGGTAGCCAAATGATTTAGGCAGGCCGCCTTATATGTAGACATATTACACAAGGAAGTTCATCAGTTATGTTATCTTAACATTTTTATAACATGAAGGCGGAATTCAAGCCTAGTACATCTTATCTGATGGTTAAAAGACATAAAAATAACGAAGGCATATCATTCTTTGTATCTTCACAGATATTCAGTGGCCGTATACAACGAACATATCAATGCTTTCTTTCCATTCATCAGGTGAGTATTCCAGCCACAGTTATAGAATATAATCACGCATTATTTTATGAGATAATGTACTGACAGATTCTATTCTCCTATTGAATGACTGAAGAAGAAATATGTGGGATTCAGACTAGAGTCTATCTGAATACGAGCTGAGTACTTTTAGGAATGAGTTGCAAGACGTTGTTGTTATCCACAATATCACCTCATTAGAAGTACTAAAGCCTTTGATCAGTGCGATCAGCAGTTTAGTTATCATCCATTCTATCAGTATGCATGAAATATCTCAGATGGGCTCACCAACATAAGGTGGAATCCGTTGATTTGCAAATAACGCGCAGCATGGTGGATTGTTGGTGCAGTTTAATTTGTAAGCACGATAGAATTGGGTCGGGATATGTAAACTGCTTGATACTGAAATTGGGAATATTGAAGGTTGACAAAATATTCGAACAATATCCATAATCACCATGAGTGTGCACCCAGCTAGAATCTGACGGATTTTTAATGACTGTGATCAGTAATCCGACCAGCGTTTCTCGATACACTGTTGATAATATTGAGACTAAACGAAACAGTCGACCGTCCGGTGTTCTGACCACTTGGTTCTTGCTAGTAAACAATATTGGTTGAAACGGTTTTCTGCCAAATAATTTTCTAAATCAACAGTTTGTAGCACAACGGCAGTTTGACGATAAATCAGAATTTAATTAGAATCGATTCCCACTAAAGAATGTAAGGTAATTAGCAAAACCGAAATATGAAAAATGTCTGTAGTTGTTATTTATTGATACCTGTGATTCTTCCCTGTATATTTAACCCCCATATGATCGTAGAAATCCATTCAGATATTATTATACTAGACAGGTTTGGTTATAGCGACTCATGGTGGCCGTACTGATCTATTGATCTTAGGCTATTTTCACTAAAAAAACCTCATTTCGTGTGACTTCTTGAAATCGAGTAGTTCTGTTCATAAAAGATTCTAAACATCCACAGGGAGAGACAGCCTTTTACATTTACTGATTTGACATATTCGTTTCTAACAAAAACTACATTGATCGCAAATATTAGTCACAATCCTAGAATTATATCACAGCCTTCCTTTACTTTTTAGCTCTTTTGGAGTTTTCCCTCCAGAAAAGTATGGCTTCTTCGTAATGATGACGACCTACTCAATATTCAGTAAGTTATGCATTTTTATGAGACTTCATGAACAAATGTTAATATTCAATCAAGAAAATATTCAACCAAAAACATGAAGGACTGCTCATTGGAATCATACATCTCACCACGCTTTGCTAACTTCAACAGAAATAGATTGTGAGATATGCATTGTCAACTTCATTTATTCACTTGACTCATCACACTCATGCATTATGGGCAGCAGCAGTTTCAGGATCGTAAATAAAACTACTTCCACCTCACTAGGCTATTTACTCAATGTGCATAGCCACTTAGATAAACAAAGAAAGTGGGCTCACACAAACACCATAACTGCAGTCACCACTTGACAGGTAAAACAAAGTCAACAACACGGCGTGAAGAGTAATAGGTTTCGCCTGAAAGTGTTTCAGTTTTGTTTAGTTTAGACGTAATTTGATGAGGAATGATATGAAAATATCTGCGTTAACAGAACGCATCTACGTATCACCTCGAAGTTCCTCTTAACTAAGGTGAATTGAATTTGAAAGAGATATGAACTTCCTGTGAAATAATGCGTAACATAGAGTGAGTCATTTTCAAGAATCTGGTTTTCAGTAGAATTCAAGATGAGAGCCCCAGGATCATTAGCCTGCTACCAGAAAACTTGAGTTACAGGGACCGACACAACAGTGTGAAAAGTGAGGAATCTGTGGATTCACGCCTCATCTTGCTTCCCTTCACATCTAACTGCATCAGTATAAACTTGTCCTCTATGTCACTGATAACATTCCTTCGTGTTGGTGATATTTACTCGCGTAATGTACATTCTGGAAGAATCCACTTAGTTCTACAGAACGGAAACAGATTAGTGATGACTGGAGTCAATTACGTCATGTGGATTCGTCATTGGCCAATAATATATGTTTGCACTAAAATATTCCTATAATAACAAATTTATGTACGTACATATATAAGTATATATACACATTTACCTATATGGATTCCTTTCTCGTATATTGTGTTGTACATTTTCAGATACTGCGGGAAATTGGTTCTGGTTTCAAATAGTTAAAACTAAAATATCGAATATGTCGAAATCATTGATCCCCCTTTTTATCAACTCAATCATACGACTTCTGATGACTATATCTGGGCTGTGTTTAACCGGTCTGTCCATTTTCGATGTGAGTTTCCCTTTACTGTTACAATTGAATAAACCGAATTCTAGCCAACTCATCATTGGAATGAATCCCATGCACGATTTCGAAGGGATTTTGTGAAATTGAATAAAATTCCTTATCCATGTTGCATATTAAACCTGTGGAGAGAATGTTTCCTACTTCGCTGATCAGAATGCAGATGACATGAAAAGATTCGGTCGTTTGTGTAGCGTTGGTAAGAGCAGAGCCGAGGTGTGCATGATACTTAGTTATTTTCTATTTCGGTAAGGAGTGAAAACTTGATAATATTATATATGTACGAAGCTGAGAATTGATCAGAACACACACATACTTCTGAAAACTTGACAGAAGCAGTTATGTGTGGACCGAGAATCGGGATATTCGGTGCTGTATTCATTCAGTTTCTGAAGCCACTTTAAAAATCACAGACGGTCTATTAATTATTGTCAAAGTTTCATTTTCACTTTCTGATTTCACTCATTGTGTACATTGTACAAGTATTGATGTTTTGCCGACGCTTTTATCTCTAAATACATATAAAATTGCGTCTATGTGGATTAACATATTAGCCTTGCAAAACTATGCCGTCACAAACATTATTTTCACAAACTCCTCAGTCGTCACCGTTTATTTTGGACGATCTACATGGATGCAGATGATTCACATAACTTCTCCTCTCATTGAACTTAACTCGAATACATTTAATTTCTCCTAACTTCACTTTCGTATTTCATCAACAGATGGAAGAATATAATTGGCACCACTACCTGATGACTGTTTGCAACTTCTTCTGTCATGGCCTGTCAATTACGTTGGGTGGTTGTTTGATGTTGAAGTATTTCGAAGACTCCCATTGGTTCTGGTGTATTCGGTTCACAATGACCGTGGAAATGATCTTCAGTGCTATAGCGTGTAAGTTTCTACGCTTATTTCATCAAATTGATTAAAGTATGCAGCTCTTGATTGATGAGTAGTGTTTAAGAGTTCATACCAAGTAATACGCCAGTGCACAACAGTGAATGAGTGGTAGAAATTACATAGATGTTCATTTCTGATAATGTACTATAAGATGTTTCATCAGTATACAATTTTATCATTCTGAGAATTCGCAAATACTGAAGGTGCGAACATGTGGATTTTTGTGGGAACTACTGGTAAGTAAATATCAAAATTGTGTTAGTACAAATGCAGTCGCTTGACATTGTGTGGCTACTTCTGGGAAGTCTGGTTGTGTCCCGTGATGCACGCACACAGTTGTAGATTCTCATACTAGAACGCATAAAGTGAATATATCAAGCCAAAATGACGAATAAGAATGAAAGCTGGTTATTTTACTGCTAGAATGAACCTATGCGTTGAGGAATTGTGATTTCTCTCACCGTCATTTTGTCGATGACAGGAGGAGACTTATTTTCAAATAATTATACATGACTAAGTAGCAAGAATTTCAGGACGCCTTTGTGACAGTTTTATCTCTCAGCTGATAGTGTCCATTTATTAATTTAATAACTTGATGGACAGCCATAAATATATTCACAGATTGATAGCTTAGGTTGTGATAATTTCAATTTTAATTCTAGGCGCGTGAATTTCACCGCTGCGGCAGTTTTCTTTCAACTATAATCCATAGAAAATGATATTTATATGTAATTTGGTATAAGTTCTTTTGCTGATTGATATGTCTTAATAAACATTAAATGAAATTGGTATGTAATCAAAACCACCTCAGATAATTTACACAGCTGTATAATTTATCTCTATTTAACCATTTTCAGTTGTGTATTTCAACTTTACTGGTCTTCCTCGGTTGGATACACTAAACATTTATCGAATGCTACCAACAGACGGTGTAAGTATATATATTTTCTTAAGAAATCACCTTTGATCAGTCATCGAGAAAAAAACATTTCAGATGGATGTGACATAAGTTTAAATATGGACTGAATAGTAACAAAATGCAACATTTATAATGCACAGTGAAAACGAAGATCAGATTGTCATTGCAAACTGTTCCGTAAATAGAAGAATTCGTATAGTTAATTTAGGATTAAGAAGTGATGGAGATTATAGTGACTGTTTCTTTACATAAAACACTTCAAAACGTTGACCTCTGACTGTGACTGACCGCCATCTCACCAACTAGCTAATTTGCCTATTCACCATCAGTGAATGTCAGTTTACCTGAACACGATTGAAATGCGATTCATATCGCTATCTTTTGAATCCGTGTTTGCATTTTCAAGTCAGAGTTAATTATTAATAATAACATATTCTCATTTTTTGTGCATGACGGATGTCAGTTTACAGTCAACATCAATATGATAAATTACTTTTACTATTACTAAGCATATCTAGTAATAATATTATAAGAAATATATTTATTTCTACCTTTCTAGGACACACTAGTCGTACAGGCATCAATAAGTATTATTTATTATTATTATTGCTCCTTTGGGTTCCTAGTGGAACATAGAGCTTCAACTGCACGTCTCCGCTTGCTTCTGTCATCTCCTGTACTTTTCACCTACATCCATTTTAGTCCATACTCTTTCAACTCCTCTTCACACTATCTCCTCCATGTCACCCTTGTACTGAGGACCCACTCGCTGCTTTTCTTTCGGGTTCCACTCGAGCAATGGCCTGATGCTCGCGCAATGTTACCCAGCGGCCTCCTCAGCGAGTGTCTAATCCATCTCCAATTTCTTCTGCATATTTGTTAGGCGATTGGTTCTTGTTTCGTTTCTTCTCATAGTTTCTTGTTGGTGATTCTTTTCGGCCCGGCCATCTGATCTTCAGTATAGAGCGAAGACAGTTGTTGGTCGATGAAGGTCTGCAACAGGCTGTTGGAAATATTCTTTGTGACCCGCCCGTCCGCCAAGTTTCTCATCCGTATAGAAGAACTGACTTGACGTTGTTTGCATTGAAAATCCGACCGAATTTTGTTGTTGATGCTGGCTGAGTGACGAAGATTTCCAGATTGGTTTCAGGTTGATGAATGTGTTTCTCGCCTTCCCAATTCTCTCTCGATTTGACATCCTAGTCCGTTCCAACTGCCTGTAGTTGAGGCAATGCTCTCTAGATAAGTGAATGAAGTAACCTCTTTCAAATCCCTCCCGTTGATGGTGATTGACGTTGGATGGTTGTTAGTTGGTTATTTTCATAGTCTATGTTTACCTGGAGTCCTGTATTCTCTGGCTGCTTCTTCGACCAGTTTGTCGGTTTTCGCTTGTAAGTCTTCGATTTTGCGTGACATCAAACACAAATCATCCACGACGAAATCCAGGTCTTCTAGGTTCTTCGCATCGGTCCAGGATATTCCTGTCTTCTCGTTTCCCACTGTCTGACGCATAATCCAGTCAGTCCACCACAATTAGGAATATCATTGGTGATAATAAGCACCCTTGTCTGACTCCTGTGTTTACTCCAAACGCCTCGCTGAGTTTTCCGTTGTGGATCACTTGACATGTGCCGTTGTCGTACAGCTGTTGAATAAGGTTGATGAATATTTGGGGTACGCCTTAGTACTCGAGTAATTTCCAAATTACTTCGTGATCAACGCTGTCGAAGGCCTTCTCAAAGTCTATAAAGTTGAGGTAGAGGTTTGATTGCCATTCCATGCTTTGTTCGATGATGATGCGTAGAGTTGCAATTTGGTCAGTACATGATTTGCCTTTTCCTGAATCCAGCTTGTTCTGGTCGGAGTTCTGTATCCAGTGCGTCCTTTAATCTCTCCAGGATGATGCGACTCAGGATTTTACTTGGCGTCAACAGAGCATGATTCCTCGCCAGTTCTTGCAGAGTCCTAAGTCGCCCTTCTTTGGTAGTTTCACGAGGTAACCTTTCCTCCAGTCAGTAGGCACCTTTCCCTCCTTCCAGACCTTTTGCAATAATGGAGTCAGCATGTCTGCTGTAGTCTCTGGGTCCGCTTTCAGTGCTTCAGGGGGTATTCCATCTGGTCCGGCTGCTTTTCCAGCTTTCAGAAGCTTGATTGCATTCAAGACTTCAGCTCTCGTTGGGGGATTGGTGTCAACTTGCAGTTGTGTGTGCGCTGTTGTTGGTATTTCTGGACGGGTTGCAGGTGATGGTCGGTTCAAGAGTCCTTTGAAGTGATCCGCCCATTGTTTAATCTGTTTTTCTTCCTTGGTAATTGGGTTCCCTTGGCTGTCTTTTATAGGTTTCGCTTGTGTTGATCTCTTCCCGGATAGAGATTTGGTTATCTGATATAGTGTCCTCAGGTCCCTTTTGCCTGCTGCCTTCTCAGCTTCAGTGGCCAGATTGTCGTAGAATCGTCTTTTGTCCTTCCTAGCACTTTCTTCACTTCTTTGTCCAGTGCTGTGTAAGTTGAGCTCAGCGTCTCCTTCTCCTGTCCGTCCTTGCATTGAATCATTTTCTCTTTCACCATTCTCCTCTCTTCTATTAATTTCCAAGTGTCCGTTGAGAGCCATTCCTTGTCTTGTCTCTTCTTTCTTCTTAGAACCGTTGAACACGTTTCGTTGAGAATCGCCTTCAGAGACTTCCAATGTTCTTCACACCTGATTCTTCAGTGATGTCACGTAGTGAAAATGTCTTTTGCGGTTGTGTCGTTCAGTAATTGAGTGTTGAACTTGCATTGTGGCCTATCCCCAGCTATCCTCGAGGCTTTTAGTTTCACCTTGAAAGTCTTTTGTACTAGATAGTGGTCTGAACCCACATCTGCTCCTCTCCTCGACCTTGTGTCCAGTAGGCGTCGTCTCCACTTTCTTGAAATTGAGATGAAGTCTATTTGATTCTTGGTGTTTCCATCTGGTGAAATCCATGTCGCCTTGTGTATATCCTTGTGTTTGAACACACTACCGCCAATCACCAAATCATTGAAGGCGCAGAAGTCTGAGAAGAGTTCACCATTTTAGTTCATTTCGCCGAGGGCCTCACGACCCATAGTGAGTTCTCTTCCTGTGTTGTCTCGTCCCAGCTTCGCATTCATGTCGCCCATCAGGATTTTGATATCGCCATTTGGGACATTGTCCATTATTGCTTGTAGTTGTCTGTAGAACGCCTCCTTCTTCTCCTGTTCTGAGACGTTTGTAGGCGCATAGCATTGAATGACTGTAAGCTTCCTTCCTTTTGAGTTGAACCTGGCTGTCATTGGTTCCCACTGCATGAGAGCTTTGGCTGCTGTTGGTGACATCATGATGGCCACTCCCTCGGTGTGCTCGTGGTTGTCGTCTGGGTGGCCGGAATGGATTATTGTCTCTCCAGTAGGTAGCTGGCGCCTTCTAGTTCCGTCCTATCTGCTTTCGCAGATTCCCAACACTTCTATTCTGTACCTTCTCATTTCAGCGGCTATCTGGGCAGCCTTTCCAGTTTCGTACATTGTACGAGCATTCAAGGTACATTAATTTGATTTAGGGTAAAATTACATGGCTGCTGTCTTTTCATCTTTATTTGGTGGGAAAAATGTGATAACTAGTGATTCAATGGACCACATCAATAAATAAAGAGATATTGACATTGCATTACCAAAGAAACCCAAGTAGATGTTGGATGGATTACAGATACTCAGGAAAAACACAATGCTGGAAGTCATTTACCCCATATAACAATAAAATGCATCTTATAATAATATGCGCTTTATGCACATGTTACGTATCAACTACGTGAATTGATTTCTTAAGAGTAAATTGGGTAATCAAGCCACATTGTTTGAACAATATATCCCGGATTTCATGAGAACTTGATTAGACAGATAAGACGTCATCGAAATTGAATAATGTCATGAACGTATATCTAGACGGGTATTCAGGAGAAGAAACACAGTGTACAGGTTACGAATTGTAGTGAATTGTGTCAAGAATGGATTCAATTACCCTCAATATTACCTGCGTAATTTTGAATTGAACTGCCATGAATGAATGACTAACCTCTCAATTCTTTCTATTCGAACAGGGATACTGGGAATTCGTCTACTGTGCTATGGCTGAATGGGTTATGGTCGCCACATGTATAGTATACACGCTAGTCATCGCACTCGAAACCAATAAATACGGAAAGTCTTTGATGAGAACAGTTTCCAGAGACACCTCTACGGTTCAACTCTTGAGAAATGTATAAACTGTGTTAAATTGAAAAGTGATTTCTAATTGTGTTCAGCAGACTTTTTGTGAACTATCTATATATCTTTCAGTCAAAGAAACATTATTTTCCAAAAGAGTCATTCTTTCAGCCGGAATCAGGATGTCAGTGATCAAAACTGGCTGAATTCACTGTGATGGAAAAGACACTATGCAAAGCGTCCGAGGAAGAGAAGATGCTTTCGAATGGTGAAACACTGGTAGTGCTGTGAACGGTTTGTTTATTTGCCTTACGGAGTGTGAGGTGGAATTAACGACCAGAACACTAGTAACTTGATTTTATTGCCATCAACCGATCAACGTAACCAAGTCAATACTGTTTACACGAATCACTGCATTCCTCTTCATAGTGTTACAAACTTCCATGAGTCACACAAGCTCAGAAACTGTGTTCTAAGGCTATCAAACATGGATTAAACATGATGAAATTCTCAGTAATATTGAACAGTATGAAGTTGCTGTTTCAAACGCACAGAAACACCTAAAGAACGCCATAAGATTTATGATGTTCGAAATTTATATTGCACGATAAAATCATTTCCCCACAGCTGTCTGAGGAACACGTGAGAGCCGAGAAGGATATCCCTGACAAAATGAGAACAAAACTCTGTTTCCAAGGACTAAACAGAACAGAATACACTTCGAACACACAGTTCAAGGGCTAATCGAATTTATCCAACGATAGTCGAGATAGTAAAATAACACCTTATCGTCAACAGCCCAGTGCATACAGTATACAAATGAAACATTCAGGATAGTAGCCAACCAGAATCAGAGACAATTGACGAATTCCTTTTTGGGTAGGTCAGAAGAATACACACTGAATGTTAGAATGATGATACACAATCAGGTATAGAGGGAGATAAATGCATAATTAGTTGAAATGCCTTCACAAATATTGATAGGTCTTATCAGTCATTCTGCCACAATGGTAGATCAATAGTCTATTTTGTGGTGTCCTGAGTACAATTTACTTCTTAGAACCATGAATACACAATTTACGTGATGCTTTCATCTGTTGACCGAGTTGGACGAAATCTCTTTCCTCATTTCATGTGTGATTCGATGTCTTCAACAAGTACTTCATACAGCGTCGGTAAAGAGTACGAACAGACGATAAAGCAGGCCTACAAATCACAGAGTTCCTCACTCAGATGCCTAATGAGTAGATGAACAACTAGTACAAGCTACTCACACTGACGAAAGGCTTTCAATCCTCACCGATACACTTAGGTGATAATTCAGAGCTGCAATTCGACTCCAATTCAGTCACACGATAATGGGCTATGAGCCGCACTTCTTGTGTGAGGGCTGATTGTACTGCCCACTGGCTTAGAATGAAGTAGGCGAAGCGTGATCCGAACATCGGAACCACTAGCTTCAAGTGGAGTAATTAGGCCAATGAGCCACATCTCCACCAGTAATTCAAAGAGCGATTATATGCAATTCTTTAAGTAAGTGATGTAGTGCAGTAAATTCATTATAGTTTTCATCAAAAACAAGTGGTGAACAACGACAGTGGTGTCTTGTACAACGGGATAGCAAAGTAATTTTTTCACTACAAAATTTTATATTAGAGGAGGCCAATGACTTTCTTCGAAATAGTATTTAGAACCTAATCTAATGCATGATTGGGACTGCAATGAAAATGAGTATGCCAAAATCAACAGTCTTGAAAGCATTTTGAATATGATCTCATTGATTTTTAGAAAGTGTGAATATCAAGTTTTCAGTTATTGACATAAATTCTCAGCTGAAGTTTTTTTTCTTCTGTATTTTGAATGTGTTGCATTCTTAACAAATAGATAGTATGTTATTACCAATAATACGACCAACAGTAGTGTATTCACAATCACAACATCAACAACCACAACAACAAAGTCCCCGGATACGAAATAAGACAGTAACAGTTCATCAACAGTGGAAGAACAGTGGTTAACAGATTTGCATATGCCCTATCTACAATACCTTGCCATCACTAATATCGATGATAAGCTGAAAGGGTTAACAACGAGTGTCCAACAATACTTTGTGATGAGTGAGAATACAAGCAATCCACGAAAACAGCGAAATAATTGGTTAATATGCTGAGCGAAGACTATATATGTATAACAAGGAATTAAAGTCATAAAAGAAGAGAACTAGGGGTGTACCATACAGTGACATTCCGAAGGAAAATGTTTGGAGCAAAAGACATGAATATTCATTGATAACGTGGCTTCCTTAAAATTCCTAGTGTTTTAGTAGTTTTGAGAATAATAAAAATTAACCGATGCCTGCCACTGTTATTTTCATGAAAGTTACAACTGTTTCGCCTCAAAAGCAAATGAAGACACAGCAGCCTACAGTCTGTAGGGAGACATAAATTATAGATAATAAATAAATGGAATAGTCTCCCGCATGGCTTTTTAACCTGAAGGGAAGCATTTTAGTGGAGGCATCAAGTTTAATGAACTTGTAAGCTCCTAGAAGTGAGTCTGTTGGCGGCTGAATAAAGCATCGGCAATAATTTGCTAAGCCACTGAAAGTGTGGGAAGTTTTCACCGTCCTTCGCTCCGGAAATTTTGAAAATGTCTTACTGTTTGGTGGGCGGATACTCTTGCAGTCAGTGATGTTGCTGATAATGTCCAGTAATTCTAATCCTACTTGACAATTTTGGATATAAATGGTAACGCCATGTTGGCGTCTTCTGCTGAATGCAATTCCAAGCATCTTGACTCACAGTGAGGCAGTCTTCTTAGTGTGCGTATACAAAGTAAAGACCATGAAATACTCTGTCAGTTAATCTTTAGAATATTTGAGCTGCATTCCTGAGACTGGACGGCATACGCAGAAATTCAAACAGTCTGAAAGGCATAATGATAGCCATTTTTGGTATGTCTTCTGTGGCTATCGAAATTCGGCTGTGTGCTTTTCTCGAACCTGTTTTTGAAAAAAATAGTTGCACCAGATAATGTCACCGTTAAGTCACATACATGATGGCAATGGATAGTAATCAAGGGTCATTTTGGCGTTCAGTCACCGGTAATCATCAGTTGGTCGCTGATCATTGCTATCTCCTCTTGCTACTATATGGAGTAGGGAAGCTCATGAGCTATTTGATGGCCGAATAATGTCAAGAGTGAGCATATGGTTAGGTTTATTTATCGCCAGTCAAGCATTAACAGTTCGTTCTCCTGCTCTGAATGTCACAGATTGTCCTGCGGTCGTGATGTGACGCATAAAATTGCTGTTTACTCAAAGCAGATTGTTACAAAAGCAATTCAGTTCTAGGTACTTGTCAACAGCTGGATGAACTACCACCTAACTTGTGGCAACCTGTGACTTATGTAGGCGATGTCTAAAATGGACAGTCTGGTGGTGCCGTCTATCAGTAGTTGTCGGTGGATACCTACGAGGAGATCTTGGTGGTTATATTAATCAAAGCCTATGATATGCGTTGTAACGTCAATCAGAAGGAAAATCCTCTGAAAATGTCTGAGTAAAGCTACGTTCAGATGGACGTATTTCTTACCGAAGATAGCCATAGATTTTCCATTCGCACCCTGTGAGTTGAAGTTCGATTTGTTCTGTCGATCTGCCTCTGTTGCAGAAGAAACGCTAATTTTGGCACCTCTAGTTTTCTTGACTACATCTCGAATATGAAGCAGGCGCCACCGGCGATGGTTTACGCTAACATCTGCCGGCGAGATAGCTTCCTGTAGTCCAAGAGTCTCTGATGAAATTACTAGGTTGTATTATGATACCAACACGAATCAGGGTTTTCAGGTGAGCGTGTTTTGAACTTTAACCAACCGCGTGAGTTTTTACGTTCAGGGAACGTTTCTGGACGATGAGGGGAATTTCGAGAACTGTCTAAATTAAGCAGTCGCTTAACTCTTTCACGTAAGTGTCACTATTCGAAGACTGTTTGATTATCGAACACATTTCAGTGACTGGCCATTGCGATATCTCCAGAATTCTATCAGCCAAAATAGCTAAATCGTATATGACAACACTTTGAAGTGTCACAAGCACAGTCTGCTCTGGCCGTAGCAACCACGACAGAACAACTCTCTGATGAGTCCCTCATCAAACTTATCGCATTCGTGTCAGCTTATGTATGTCCGAATGATCACCCAACTCGGCATCACGAAACAATTCATCAGAAAGTTGTCGATCTGGAATATCATCTCTCCTAAAATTGGCCGCTTGAAGCATCTCAGAGTGTTTGCTTACCTCTGAGCTGAATGTTTGCGCAGAAGCGTGTTCACTTCATTCCCGCAGTAAAGTGTGTACAACTGCAGGCGACTGTGAACAACATTCAGTTGTTCCATGTTCCCAGAAGTTGGCCTCGGGTAACAGAACGCATGCTTCTGTATTGTTTGGCCTAAACAGCACGAGCTTAATCGGGATGCTATTCCGTCGAATACGGATGAGCTAAGACGTATGGTCAATCATTGTAAAAAATATTTAAAGTGTAGTCGATGTAATTCAAGAACAAATATAAAATAGAACGAATTCACTGAATTTGTTTGCGTGTTTATTAAAGAAGATGAAATTCTCGGTAGGGCTCACCAGTTTAGGAGATAGTGTGTTGGCGTTTACAAATAGTATGACGTATACTAACGCAATATCATCTTATATCCACAACTTCTATAGTATTCCTTCCGCATAGACTAAAAAGAATCAAAACACGAAGTAAATCGTCCAAAATACGAAGTTTATTTTGGAATCAAAATTATGGTGCCAGGCTAATCGCCTAACCGGCTAGGGATCGTGCATGAACAACCAAGCGTAACACAAGAGAGTGACCAATAACTTGGATGCGTGACCGTGAGCATTCAGCTGAACAGGTTGACTTAAAACGTTAATTTTAGCATCCAATATTGAGTGGTGAATGTTGTAGGCTGGTAATTTTGAGAGAAATATCTATGGCTACAACCTCATTCTGTCTTATAGATAACGATTCCTTACTTGCTGACTACACAAAATATCATTCCGGAAATTCAAGAACCTCAGAAGCAACTTATATTCACACAGATTTTATTGGATCATCATCACCATATTCTAAGTGCTAAATTTTTAAGAGCTCATGTGATTTTCACCTAGTCTTAATCATGTTTCAAGGACTCCGTCCTCTGCACTGTGAGGAATTGAAACGTAGATCTACAAGGATGGCGCTCAAAACGTCTGGTTAACTGAAATGTTATGTATTTGATTATAACGCCAGGTTATTTCTCTAAGCAACAAGGCTTACAATAAACAACCATTCGAAATTGATTGATGATCAGCTGGCGTATTGTTGTACTATGCGATAACTCATAGTCATCTGAAAGTTCCTCGTTTCACCTATACATTCAGAAGTATAGTGAAAAAAGTGGCAAAATACACATTTTCAACTAGCATACTCTCATGACTCCTAATTTTACTCTCTAAATTCACCTGGTGTACAAATGCGGAATGTTAGGTAAACTTCACACTGTGTCCTTCGTAGGCTACAGGTTTGAGTTTCATTGAGAAAATACTTTTCATCATTCGTTTAATTTATATTTTTAAGGAAGTGCGTTTAATATTTCAGTTTAAATAATCACATGAAAACATCAACATAACCTGTTCATTCACTCATCCATTTTGTCATTGGTGCTTACAAATACCTAAATTTGGGAAAGTGAGCTTCAACTCACATACTCATATCCTTCCGATAGACTATTACTGCTATGAAACACAAATATTTTGCAGCAGACTTCTTCTAGTAATATAAGGCAATCATTTCATTTTTGTTAGTAACAATATATTCTCAAAATTATAGAGGTATGAAGAATTGAGTTATATGTACCTTTTGTCTTGGACAATGAATTGCTTGAAGAAATATATTTCTCAACTATGTAGGAGGAAATATTTCATGAGGAGTAACAATTTAAAATCCAACATGTACACATACACAATAAGATCGAAAGTAAACACAATGATATATTCAAAAGAGAATTAAACTCCTTCTTCCCCTGAAGACATTTTCTGCCTATTGACACGTTGCTTCTCGTAGCTTCGTAGTTCAAAACCAGTAATCAATGTGATTTCTAAGAACCCCATAACAACAAACCATTCACTCAGTGCACTCCATTTAAATTCCTCGTAGCCCTAAAACGGTACAAATAATAAAGACGTGCTTTCAAATGTTATGTTTCAGATCGAATGAGAAGTCATGTACAGAAACAAAAATATTCTATAGTAATCAGAAATGCAATTAGATGGAACTTTATTAGAGGAAAGCTTTTCAAATGCTTTAGAAAGACTTATATGTTAAAGATTGTTTAAAATGTTTGCACATAAACCCATAAATATTAGTTGGCTTACAGGTTCATGTTTTTTGATGTAATATATATCTTCTGCCTCTTCAACTAACTGACCGGCTTCATTGAAATGTACAACTGTATCATAAAAACAACGGAAAACAGCTCATTATTCATCATGACCACATAACATAGTTACACATGACAGAATGTTCTCGGAACTGATAAATATACGTAATGTTGGCATAAGCTTGTCGAATTTCGCCCTAAATGCATACTGCAGTTTGCTTCTGAAGTGTGTTCAAGGGATTAGTCCCTGAAGTGCTCACCGAAAAAATTGGCGGGAAATCTAAGCGTCATCTGTTTAATAATAATGACAATGCCTAGCTTTATTCTAGTGGAAATATATGCACGCAGTATAGAATAATCCGTGGATTTCACTGCATTGTGCTAACCCTTCATACAGAATCTCCAGGTGATAAGGAAGTGAATACTATATTGCTGTGTACCTTGATGTTGTCCCTGAAACTGAAAACGATTGGTTGTAGTAATTGTTCTCTGTTTTCCTTAAGAAATTCATCGGATCGGGTGTACGTTGCTGGTAACAAACACTATATACTTTTCTATTTTGTTTCTCTTTCTACTGTGACCCCTGCTTTATTGCTCTGATTTATAGGTAAATTTGACTGACTTTTCTGTAGAATCTAAGAGTGTGAAAGTTGTGGACATTGCTGGTTTGAAGTACCGAGGATATGTCAACCACATTTATCACTTTTGGAAAATAGCAACATTTTGAGATATTCAGACTCAAACACAAAATGTGATAGAATGCGTAGATGACACGTCATCTTATAAATGATTACATTTTACTGTGTACCAAATTTAATGAATAAACCAATGTGGACGACATGTCTTATTTTGTTAGAACTAGCTTCACTTTTCAACCACTAAACAGTGGAGGAGTACCAGCTATAAGTTGAATTGCACATAAAGTGTAAAACACAAAGGACAGTTAGGCATCAGTTACATGTCAGTGGTTCGTCAACGTGTTGTACAATCAAATGTATGTTCTTTTGCCACTTGCACGGGGAAATGTTTTCAAAATCCTTATTCAGTCATGGCGACTCATCGTGAAATGCTTAGTATGATACAAGATGTTACCTAATTAATGCACTTTTCAATAATTGAATGATCAAACTTCCACATATCAGTGTACACAATCTATAAATGAAACAGACTACACACTATCCCTGACTACATTTCACAAAGATGCAGAGTTTAGCAGAGTACTGTACATATACAAGTTTATTTGACTTTTTTGAAAATTGACTATCTGTAGCATAACTTACAAAAATATGACCCAATTATCATCTGGAGTAAAATAATTATTCTTCCTAAGCAAAACCATATCCATGGACGGAAAACGAGTAATACAAGTAAAGTGCCTAATGGAATGGCTGCAGCATGACTACCAAAAGTCAGTAGGGCCAAGTAGTAGTGAATGTCATCGTAACTTCTTGTCTGAAAGTTAATCAAAATACAAGATCACTGACTTCTTTTGATAAAAAAAATTATGTATAACATTTAACACAGGACAAGTAGTCTGAGAATTACTCACAAATTTACTTCAGAAATCAATTTATTCAGTTAGCTTGCTAATATGTCTGGTCCATGTAAAAGGAAGGATATGTCTATACTCATAGATTGTCAAACATAAAGGATTTCACTGTGTTTCAAATAGACACAAAAGTATACCTCTCAAGAGATACGTTATCATCATTATTTATTAAAAAGTATACTCATTCACTTTTTCAATGTCTTGAACTATTCGAGATTGGTGAGCCCTCTTTTTGTCTGCTATGTCACTTTGAACAAATACACTATGTGGATGAACAGTGGTGAACTGTATTACATTCAACAACACAAATATTGAATGGACAGACATACATAGACAATTAAGGCGAACAACTAACAACAAAAATGAATATTCTGTGTCAAATTTCTTCATATTCTGACTGCCTAGTCTGATACGTCACCTGTGACAATATAGTTTGATCTCTGGCATATGACGAAGCAAATAAATGATGGTAGTTTTCAGCTATGAGGTGAGCTTCACTTACATCAATAAACGACAATATTATGATGGATGAACCTGATATTGTAAACATTGTAGTTGTCATGATAGAGAGCATTTTACTGATCTTTGACTGAAATGACTTCTGTGCAAATCGTCTTCCCATCATAATGCACCAAAACCACTGACTTATAATTGCTGAAATAAATAATGAAAACAACACTTAATTATTTATTGAAGTCAACAAGATGTAGGCATACACACGGGAAGTCATCGTGCATCGGATTGGACCATATTTCCGCTGCGCCTAAACGTTTATTACATCGTTGATTTCATACGAATGTCCTGAAAATCATATACGTGGTTATAACCTCTGAAGGTGAAGTTTCAGTTAATTAGCCGAAACCAAAATCACAACATCAGTAATTCATCAAATTATATCATAAAATGACAATTCTAATGAAATACTGGTCAACAAATTTCACAGTGAAATATTTCGCTTCTTTCTAATTCATTCTCAAGAATTTCACACCTTTCAAAGGTACTGTGGGAATGGTTTCCTATTAACAAAATTACGCTCTTTACACGATAATCATTCCTGATACAAAGTCCTCCTTCCTGTGCACATTTTCGACAGTTAAAAGATTGACAATTAGATGTTAACAGACTTCGAAACTTGCAGCACACAACTGTGGTTTTTATTTCGCTTTCCTTTAACTGAGCTATTATGTTTCCTAAAATCTACCTATGAAATTCTCTTTTAGTCCGTTATATTATTCTGTATCGCTATGAGCACTTGTGATTCATATAAAACTTTGCATTGTCTAAAATCAGTCATCTTACTCACTCAAAACTCCATATGAGGCCATTGACGTTGTGAAAATATATTTTTCAGGTGGATATATGCCCAGAGAGCTAAAAGAATATGTAAAATAATTGTTAAGGAGAACTGCGAACAGTTTCTTCATTTGTTAAAAGTAAATGAGTGCTCCAGTGGCAAATAAGAACATATCATTATTTATGATCAAAGTTAAATTCGGAAAATTAAAGCTTTCAACTAGGTCTGCCCTGATTAAAGTGATAACGGAACATCGATGAACCAAATTCTAACGTCATTGCATGTACATCATATTGGATAACGATTTCAGTAAGCTGGCGATCGACAACTGGATAGAAATAACAATCCGTTGGTACGTTTCTTATTAACTCCGATTGTATTCAGACTCATCTGTTCCGTTGCTGTGCAGGAGTATTTCCCAGGAATCAGCTTAAATAACACAGACTTCAACTGTAGGAGTAAGGTCACAGAAAACGTGAGAAATTAGCAATTGTAACAAATGACCAGCCATTTAGATTGATCATCCACAAGTGAGTTAACCCCTACTGGAACACAGACAATAACAATCTTCGGAAAGTTCTGGACATATCACATAAATAAACTGCTTTCAGACTGCTGTCTAAGCTGTTCCATACCAAACATACAGTTACAGAGACTCTGAATAAAGGGAAATTACATCATAATATCATCTCATTCAGATGACGTTTACGAAAAAAAGTGAATATTTTACTTCTCAGATGCTAACCAATCCGCTTTACGCCAAAATTATATAGAAGTGATTAGATTCAGATTTTTGAGTGAAAACAGGACTGTAATCGGCTTGTATTTGATTGCTAAGGCGGGAAATATGCAAATATGATAGATGCATTTCAAACAGATAATGATTCCACTTAATTAAATGCACTTGAACTACATATCCAAGTGAACCATGTAGGAAGGTAAACCATGTGACCAGAAATTCTAATTTCCAGTAACATACAGCGAAATATTAATGCAGAATGAACACACCTTCGTTTCAGTTTTTAAAATACACATAAACTGTTTCACTTTTGATAATGAAACCAGACACTAATTTTAAGCACTCAAAATTGAATTATACAGCAATGTTAAGCGACTAATTACGGTAGAATAAATTCTAATGATTATGGTTTATTTTCATTTACTGTGCCTGGAATAAACAACAGATAATACTGTAGAAAACTCAAAACAGAATCGGAAAGGATTGATAAAAGGATTGAAATACTGAAAACTCAAGGTGGGTTAAATTCAATTAACATCCAAGGAAAGAATGATCTTTTCAATAAAAGACTATTTTACTTTAACTTTGGATGACGTCTGTTTGTTGAAACCAAAGTATTTACAATGACAAATAATGGGAGGACAATGGCCAACTGAAATGGAATTGCATTCAGTAGATGAGTTATAAATCGGACGTGACACCGGTCCTGAGTGTCACTGCTAGTCACTAGATGTTAAAACACTTTCATTACTGTCAGCGATATCTGTTAGTTAAAATGACTTAAAAAGATATAAACGAAGTTACTGTTATGGCATTTCGATAAATAGAAAAGAATGAAATCGATTAAATATGTCAAAAAATGATCACGTGTTTCTATACACATAAACAGTATTTTATTGAACTGTGACATTAAATAACTCGTATTTCTTTGAATCAATCCACTAAAGCACGAGACCTGAACGCCATAGAAACGCTAAAGGCCAAAAAAGCAGCAGGAACACACGAAATCTTAGCAGGAGAATTGAAAATAAACCCGGAGAAATTAGCGGCTTTGATGATACCACTACTGAAGAAGGTGGGAAAGAGAGCAAGGTACCTACGGATTGGGAGAAAGACTACCTATTCAAACTTCCAAAGAAAGGAGACTTAGGTCACTGCAAGACCTGGCGCGGCATTATGCTCCTGTCCATCCAAAGCAAATACTAAGCCTCATCATCCTGGGGAGAATCAAACACCCTTTTTAAGAAAGATTTCAACCGTAACAGGCTAGATTCAAGAGAAACAAGTCAAGCATAGATCACATCACATCACTAAGTATCATCACTGAACAGAGCTTGGAATGGAAGTCACCCCTCTATCTCAACTTCATCGATTTGAAAAGGCCTTGAACAGCGTCGATCGAGAGGTGATTTGGCAACTACTTTGCTACTATGGGGTGCCGGTAACAATTACACATCTCATCCAACAGTTATACGACAATGCTGCATGCCAAGTAATCCACAACGGGAAACTCATGGAATCCTTAGAAGTGAAGACAGGAGTAAAACAAGGCTGGCTGTTTACTGTCTCCAAATATTTCCTGATTGCTGTAGGCTGGGTAATACGACAAACAGCGGCAATGAGTAGACATATAAAATCAACCTACAAAAAATACTTGGGCGATCTAGACGTCGCCAATGATATAAGTTCAGTTTCCCACATACTGGAAGATGTACAGGTGAAAAGCAATAAGTTGGCAGAAGAAGCATCCAGAGAAGATAGAACTTCAGGTGAACATAGTGAAAACAGAGGTGATGAAGATTCCTGGCCAACAGCAACAATAACAACTGACAACAATCAGCCAGGATAACGGGAGAAATTTGAAAGAAGCAACTTCCTTTACTAACCTACCTGGGAAGCATCGCTTCAACTAAAGGCGAATGGAACTAATGTGGATATCAAAGCAAGGATTGGGGAAGGAAGACAAGCTCTCATTTCTCTCAAGTCTGTGTGAGGAACAACAGCACTCAGTATGAAACACAAGATCTGGATTTCTAAATCCAATAAGAAGTCACTACTACTCGGCGCATCACAAAGGGAACTTCCCTCAATACTCAAGATCAGATGGCCAGAAAACATCAGCAACAGGAAGTAATCTCTGGCAGCAAACTAACCAGGAACCAACTGTGCAGCAAATATGAAAAGAGAAATGAAGGTGGATTGACTATACTGTGATAAAACCATCATGTGACATCACACGCCAGATTGTCGAGTGGAACCCTAAAGGGAAGCGGTGAGTTGGCCATCAGTGCGAGGGTAACATGGGGGAGGTCATGCAAAGAGGAGACGAAAGCATGTGGGCAGACATAAATCCAGGTGAAAACGTTGGCGGAGAACTGGACCCAACGGAGACGTGCAGCCGAAGCCCTATGTTCTTCCAAGAACTAAGGGTAACAATATTAATAGTAATTCACTACAAGTAAAGACACGGCGTTTGATTTGTGGTGGTATTGTGTTGGGTGTCTACAAGAAACTAGAGCTCTGAGAAAATCTGAATAAAATAGTGATTCTAGGCAAAAAGTTTCATATAATGAATATGGGTGAATAAATAAAGATCAGTGAGATCATTAAACCTGTGGACGCAGTTAGTTCTAAGGCGAAAAACGTGCATCAACCCTGGTGAATGGAATAAAGAGTCGTTTCGGTGAGAAGAAAACGTTTGACTTATAGAGTACAACTAACAACCCACACTCAATAAGTGTTGTTATTAGACTCCACAAATTTGGGTATTCACTTAGGCCGAAATTCGATGTAAAGCATTCGGACATGTTTTCTGCATAAATATTAACAGTCAATAATATGTGACACTAAAAACTATTCAAACCCTGAGCTAACTTACTCAAGATACTTGAAAAGGGAAAATTAGGACATTATTACTTGTTAGGTGACAAGTTTATACACTTGTATTTCAACTAGAGCACTCCTAGAAATTGTCATGGAGAATTTGAAACACTGAATCTGAATTCACACACAAGAATAAAGTGTCCGATGAATACATCGTTTGTGGTGTCTAACGTCTAAAGTCTCGGAATCCCATAATAACGTATATAAACACTGAAATAGTAGTGACAATGATAACGCCAACACCATCGGGAGTGAGGGATATATTAGTTGGAATGCAAACATCAACTTGATGTTCATTATGACCTTCTCTTTCCTTTGCTTAATCATTCATGATGATGTCCAGAAATCCGATGATGAATATGCGCAATTGTAACTTGCTCGAGAAAGCCAATCAAAGTATTCTGTGCAAACAGATCAATCAAATTTATATTTTTATCAGGAATTTTCTCCAAATAAATATTTCCACTAAGTAGTTCTCTAATAAATGTGACCTCCTCATTCAGAAATTTGTCACAGCAGATATAAATATTTATATATTCCTAATTGTATCATTCTCTTTCGTTTTTATATGGAGGTCTTAATAATAAAATACTAACATTTCTTTCTCAATGGTAACATTTGTTACAGAACAAAGTAACATGTTTAGCTGGAAACGAAGGTGACTCATGAAATATTTGCTCGTCGAACAAGTAAACAATACTTGTTTTGTGATCAATGCAATACCAATATCGGATATATGTAAATTTGAACTTAGAAAGGCAGGAAGAAGTAATACTGTATATTGCGAGCTAATAATTTGTGTAAACACCTTGATGTGGTATCTCTGTCTGTTGTATTAGATTAATTTATCTACTTTGCAATCAAATCTAACCACAATACCAAAATTCCACCTCTTTATCAGAATGTGTTATCTGCGACATCACCCTTCTAGAATATTCACTCGTGAGGCAAAACTTCCTGTTATGGGTAGTAAATGTCACCGTAACCCTAAGAAAAGTTACTAAGCTATTACTATTTTGCCCTACTAACTCAAAGGAAATGGTCAAAATGTAATTGTAAAAATTTACAACTTCACAAACATTCTTTATACTACTGTGATTTCACAAGTACACTCGTGCAAATTCATTTCTATTATATGAGAATATACAATCACAAAGTTAACGTACATTTGACTCAAAACAATGGTAGTCTGTGAGGGCTTCTATGAAACAATATCTGAACATAGTACTTCATTACTGCTTAGTTTAATATGAAATATATATTATTTGTGTTTAACTCACCTCACATAAGGGACAATCGGCTGTACATGATCATGTAAAACAGCAACAACGTATCTACATAACACAAGATAAAGCATGGAATTCTTTGTTGAGCAGTAGTTTGTCAGAGATGGGGAATTAAGTACAAAGTTATTTAATGTCTGTTTATAGTGTGTATGCGGAATAACATGAAAATTTCAGTGGAAACTGCAAGACTATCAAAACAATGATTATTAACAATTAGGAAACGTCCAGGTAACTGGTAAATCTGAAGGCTGAAATGAGCGTCTAAACACTGCGTTTTACACCTCCAGATAGGTAAATCTTCGTTTATGATACATCATATAGGTTCTGAGCTTGCTGTCCAGCGAAGAATAAGTTCAAAATCTATTCACCTGTTGGCCTACTATTTCGTTTTCTTGACACCTACCTCCTCATTCTCCTTTGTGGAATAATTTTGGCAGAATTTCGCTCCGCCTCTCCTCATGTTTAAAGATATTATTACTAACTTTATAGAGGACATAAAAGATAGCGTAGGCGCTCACATTTGTTCTCATTATTATATTCAGCATCGAGCCACCCTTAATTTGAACTATATTATGGTAAAATACCAGTTTCATTTCGGCTCTCTGAATATATTTATGCTGCTTCTAGTACTGATAACACAAGAAAGACGTTATGTAATTGTACTACTAATCATAAACTATGATTTTCCGTTTAGCCTGATTACTAATAAATACTCATCATTCAAATCGTCCTGACAACTTCCATTCAACATATCATCCTAAATAATACACTTCTAAGTAAAAAGGATTAGATGTACTTGCCTTTGTGCCTGTTGATATGACGGTCATCAGTAACAGTATTATCATGAATCATGTTTCGCAGACTTCGTAAGATATACAAATGATTATTTTAGCACATAAGACTGTGTTTCTTTCAAGTCATACGAACACTGGTTATGTTTTATTCTTTCACCAGTCCTTTTTCATAAATAAAGCGAGTCATCAACTTGTACTTCTCTACATTCAAGCCCTTATAAGCCATGAAATATGGCTAACTTTCAGAAATGTCTTTTGAAGGGTCATTTCAGTCGAACGTTTATCTTAGCGTCAACATCTGAAGTGGGGCAAGACGAAAAGACAACTTATTTGCACTGTACCATACACACAGCAGAATAACATATGGTTGTCGAATTTTTCCATGGAGACAGTGGAAAAATTACACGGTGGTGGCGCGTGTCTCCTAACCACAAAGCGTCTATTCGATCATGACAGTGCAGATTACACTGCTTCACTGAATTATTTCGTACACGTACTTTGAATAATTCGTAGGGTCTTGTGCTTACATTCCCCCTTTCAAGTGAAATGATCATGTATTCAGGTTGTTTTATGAATTCTGACGATATCAAAGACACAATTCTTGAAATTTTCCCGTAGACCACGGTTATATAATTTTATGGAATTAATTTTTGGCATTGTTGATATCTAGTTAATTCGTCTAATATCGGATTTGCATCAAACTAATCAGCAGAGTATTCCTTTCACACCGAAAAAGCCTGATCATTTTAAAATCAGGACACTCAATGACATTGCGCATTTTATTGAGTTTCTGTCATTTTCAGTGGTTGCGCTTAATAGATTTATTGTTCTGCATAGCACAGTTAATTAGGGAACAAGACATCTTCCTGCTATGAATACATATTGCAAATTGCGTTTAGACAGCTTTTGTGCCGTTCATTCTCCTTCGGACTTGAGGAGAAGTAGAGAGGAGATCGCTCCAACTGGTTTAGTTTTATTGTTTTTTTTCTCTGAATGGTAAAAGTTACACTAATATGCAAGACCAGCTCAGCGAAAATACTGTTACTAGACAATGAAAACTGAAAGTTATTGAATTCTGTTTAACTCACATTATCGGTAGCCAAAACAGTGCGTGAATAACTGCAAAGAAAGGCACCTTCGATGGAGAACATTTAAGCCATTTCATTTTGAATTGTGGTCCTGAAAAGGATTTAAGGTGCATAGTGGAAGACTTTTATGTATATACAGATGATATGCTAACTATATGGAGAAACTACAGCCATTCAAAGTATTCAGTCTGTGTTTCACTTGGTTGGTAAATTATCAGCTTGGTGTACCATTGTGACTTCACAAATGTAATCAAAACATGATTACCACATCAGAAGGTATCCTGATTTCTTAGAAGACGAAATTCTCACGGTGGGTTCCGACATAACAGATCACTTGGATAACCACTGAAAACCAGGCAGTACCGGACATCTGTTTCTTCCCTGATAGTTTTTGGGGTGACTAGCCTGCCGTAAGCACTGATAGTGTTCTTATGACCTCACGCTGACAAATCTGCCAAGAGCTATGTAATAGTGGGCAATCAGAAGGTTCTGTGCAGTGACAGAAGGGAATCCTATGCTGTATGCGTCTCTAGTTGAACAATGTTGATATGAAAAAAAGTTTGTTTCAATAGTTGGGTCTAATAAATACTGAAAACGCGGCAGTATAATCACACTAATAGATAGTCAACAAATAGAAGCACTAGCAAATCTCACTAATCTGGATAAGTAATTTGCTTAGTTCCGTATTCAACTCGGAAGGGAGACATTATGTTTAGTCTACACAATGAGAATGAACATCTATAAAATGTCACAGGTTGCAGTAATAATTTGTTCATGTTATCATTAGGAGATTTATGTAAAATAAATTATGATCCTATCATTCTCCAGTTTATAATACCGAAAATGAGGTCATACTTGAATACAGTAGCAGAATTTCACTCTTGCATTATATATTTAGTTGTTGTACCTCGATGAAATTAAAATTTAGGCACTAAAGAAGCGTGAGGTTGAATCGAGCCATAGTGATGAAGGGTAAATTTCGTCTTCTAACCACAACGCTTATGCAAATCTAACTTAAATCTTTCCCAAACCTGATGTAGAACTAACTAAAAGTCCCGGTTCATAACACAACATTTAATTTAGCATTTTGCCATGAGTAGTGTTCATTACCGGATTTCTTTCACTTGCTGACTAAGCATTCCAACTTAATAAGTGTCTCCGCGACTATTCGGTGCTATTGATATCAGCTGACAGACACAGACTTCATCTCAATCTCGAGGAAGTAGAGACGCAGCTGACATACTGGATACAAAGTCGAGGAGGGAGACAGATGTGGGCTCAGACCATCACCTAGTTCAAGAAACTTTCAAGGTGAAGCTGGAAGCCTTCGGAACAAGTGTATACAGGTCACAATTCAAGCTGAACACTCAGAAACCGAAGGAAAAAACTACAAATCACAGCTTCACTAGCGATATCAGAGCAAAGTCGGAGACACTACGTGTTATCACTGAGGAAACCGGCGTGGAAGAACATTGGAACTAACTCACTGACGGTGATGTTCAAGGAAATGTGTACACCTGTTTCAGGAAGAAGGGAGAGATGGGACGAAGAATGACACTCAACACATACCTGGGAGCTAATGAAGGACGGGAGGTTGGTGAACGAGAAGATGACTGAATTCGAAGATGGACAACAGAAGGAGAAGCTGAGTTCACTGTGCACTGCTCTGGATAAACAAGTGAAGAAGAGTTCTGAGAGAGACAAAAGTCAATTTTACGATACACTGGGAACTGAAGCAGAACAGGCGGGATGCAGAAAAGAGAGACCTCAGAAGGCTATATCAGGTTACCAGGTGTCTATCCGGAAGGAGATCAACCCGGATGATGAAACCAATAAAAGATGCTCAAAGGAAGCTGATTACCAAGGACGAGAAACAAATCAAACAATCGGCTGATCACTTCAAAGGACTCTTGAATCGACCATCACCTGCAACTCGCCTGCTAGTGGACACGAAATCCCCAATGAAAGCAGAAATCCTAAATGCGATCAAGCTACTGCAGTCCGGGAAGGCAGCAGGACCAGATGGAATTTCCCTGAAACACTGAAGATTGACTCAGTGACTGAGGCAGAAGTGCTCACACTACTACTGCAAAAGATTTGGAAGGAAGGAAAGGCTCCTACCGATTGGAAGTAATGCTGGCTACCTTGTCAAGCTACCAAGATAGGGTGACTTACGCCTCTTCAAAAGCTGACACGGAATCATGCTTTTGCCCAAGCCAAGTAAAATACTAAGGCAAATCGTGTGCTGTTCAAATTGCAACTCCACGAATTGTCATATTCGAAATGAATGCAGGAGTAGGACAAGACTGCCTTATTTTTATCACAGAACACATTCTTAATTGTGGTGGACTGGATCACGCGTCAGACTCTGGGGAACAAGCCGTTAGGAATACGCTTTACGACTTATGAGAAGACTCTAGAAGATCTGGATTGCGCAGATGATATAATTCTAATGTCACGAAAATTAGAAGACTTGCAAGGCGAAGCAGGTGAACAGATAGAAGACAGAGGTGATGAAAATAATCAACGAACCGCAGCAATGAAAACAACCAGAACCAATCACCAGCAACAGGAGAG